AGAGAGAGAGAGAGAGAGAGAGAGAGGTCGATTCGCGAGGTGAGATCGTCACCGGGGGAGTTTCAATTTCACGCGTCGCAATTCCCGTGGCCCGTGAATCGCGCGTTCTTTCTTCCCCCAATTTTTCCGTCTCTGCCCCTTTCGTCGTGCGTCGCCTTTTTCTCCGTCTCTCTCGCGAGAAAAGGAGAAAAGAGAGAATCTGCCCGAACCAGCCGACAGATTGAATCTTTCGTTCGCAGATCTCTCGCTCGTTGGCGAACGAATCCCCCGGAAAACGAAGGGACGTACCTGTGTGCGAAAAAAAGAAGAAAAAAAAAAGAGAGGAAAAAAGGGAAAAGGAGAGCGTTCTCCGGTTTTCATTTCAACGGGACGAACAACGTTTTATCGTTTCGTTATTTCACCTTCTCCCGCCCTTTTTTTTTTTTTTTCTTTTCTATTACCTCGAAACGGGGAGTTCGGAATTTTTATCGTCGTTTTGCAAACGGCACCGCTGGATGAAAGGAGTCTGGCTTTTTCGAGCGGATGGCTAATATTCTATTAGTAGTTGGTACTTTGCGACTATTTCGTAGCACGGAGACGTCCAAAGAGAGCATAAACTCGCTATAAAATATGAAATCGAACGAATCCAATGCGTGGAAATGGAATTTTGTCTGAATCTTCTCGTTAACCTTCTTCGCAAGAACAAATTAAATGGAAAATGTCGAAGATATCTTGCGATAATCTTGATACGTGTGAGAGACATCTGGTTTAAATACAAAAGTGACTTGTGTCGGCGAGGCTCCTCTTGCATCCAACAGTTTCGTTGCTCTATTGTTTCTTCCGTGGAAGTTGGCTTTAAAGAACCGGCGAGGTCGACGTTAATTTTACACGGTCGAAAGTCCCATCCTCCTCCCCCCACCCGCGGCGTTTAATCCTCTTCTCTCCCTCCCCCTGTTCCTTCCCCCTTTCGAAAGATTCGATTTCGAGATTTAGCCGGCCGATAAATTGAATTTGTTCTCCAGTTGTCCACCGGAAAAGGAAGGTGCGCGCTCGCCTATCCTGGCAAAGGCTCGTTTCGCAAAGCTCGGATCGTCCTGTGAACGTCACAGGCGCGTTTATATCGACACATATGAGAGAAATATGTTTTCGTTTTTCTGTGTCCGTCGCTCGAGCTAAAAAACAACGAGTCGAGGTTCATGGGCGTGCGTTTCGACGAGTTCTCCGTCATTCATTGTGCGAGATGAAAGTTACCACGATTTACAACGATCGTTTATTGAGCCAGATTTAGTATGTAGAAGTATGTAGTTGTAATTATAATCTCAACTTATAATCAGAACTTTGTTCGTTCACAAGAGAGAAGAGATTAACTGCCATTGTGAGACGAACGTTTGAAAATCGCGCGTAGAAAGAACGTGTGTTGCGTCAACGCGAAAACTCGCGTATTTTTTTCTTTTTTTCTTTTTAGATCGTATTTTTCGGTATTCGGTCTCCTCTGTTAACCCTTTGCCCTCGGGAACATTCTCATCTACGTGTCATCTACCAGCAATTTATTTACGAAATAGCGAGTGAAGTATCACTTCAAATAAAATGATGTAGCATTTTATGGGAATAATCATCCTGTTTAATTGATATTTAGCATGAAATTCTTGTTGATTGTATTTGTTTAATATGGGATTTGGTTTGAAGTCATCGTCATACAATTTCAATCCCTTGAAAAGACTTCCTTCGTCATTTTATAAACTTTCGTCATGAGCAGTAGAGTTTATTATCATTTATCCCGAATTATTCGAACGATAATTAGAATGATAGTGACTCACGATTGCCTCTATCCCCAAAGGATTTCTCCTTTTGAAATTTTATTATTCCTCTTACGTCGTTATGTTGTGATTCATCAGCAATTACAAGAAATTCTACGATTTTAGCTGAATTAATTTAAGTAGTAAGATGTTCCCTTGGAGGGAGCAGTCGAGTGCAAAAGGTTAAACTACTAGATCAAGTCGCACCGTGTATTTTGAAGCGACGCTCAAGCCAATAAAAAATAGAATTTAGAATTTTATTGAACATCTGGCGTGCCTCGATTGTTGGATCGCGCTTGACTTACGGTGAGGG